TCATCTAACATCCTGCAACCCGCTATTTATCCAACTAATAAGAGCAGTGCTCGTTAAATAAGCCTGTAAGTATACCTAGTCATTATCGCATGCTCGATATAAACAAAACGGAGATTGTTCTGCTTTTTTCGGGCATTCACATGGTGAGGATCATTGTTCTGAAGACAATACCGGAAAACTGCGCAAGATTTTACAGAATTGACTGGAAAAAGTGCGTTTCATGTTCGAGATTCCTCCTAAGTATGACCGTTAAAAATCCCATTTACTTGCACAATAATGGCTCTTGTAATTTTACGAAAGAATTTCACTTTGCCCGCTTGATAACATGAACCCTTTGCACCCTTGTATGTCCCCTATGCGTGCATGCTTCCTCTTGTAAAGCCCGACAAACTGGAATGGTGTTATGCAAAGTCTGGTTAATTACAAAGTTTTTTTAAAACCCAGCTGGCATTCTGCAGTTTAGGGTTTGGAAGCTCAAGTTTTCAGGCAAACTCAACAAATTCTAGCGGCGATTTTCCCTTACTTTGCTACTTTTGAGTGGACACATAAAAACCGATTATCATGAAACTGATTTTACGCCCAAATAGCAAATATCATGTTACCGTTTAAGAATTGGCACTTTTTTGGCCTCGTCCAATTTAATTCGATTTGTTTTTCGCCACTGGCATTAGATTGGCCAAAAACAAGTTCGATTGACGTAATTCGAGCCAGTAAGTAGGTATTTTCCCTTTTACATCACGAACAACGTTTAATTAACTTTTTGCGCGATATTTGATCAAATTTACTTTGCACCAGTCCAAACTGATCAGCAGAGAGTGTGATTTCTACTTCTAAGGTCACACAAGTTTTGCGATCAGTCGTTTCAATCTGACCTGAACAAGTAGGAAATTGACAATTTCTCATCGTTTATTTGAGAGAGAAATGCAAATAAATACCGAAACATCGCGGCAAAGGCGACAAAAATAGTTCCATTGATATTCGACAGCGAGCCTATCGGCTTTTACAGCTGTACTAATAAATATAATAATACTTTCAACTGTTCCCCGATCGGCAAACCTAAGAATATCTGACCTATATAACGCTTTTATATCAAAAATCTGAGTGGAAGTTGGGAAAATCGCTATTAAGACGCCACCACAAAATTGCGTTGAAAAAAGAACAACTTTTGCAAGAGCAACTAAACAAATCCCATTTCCATGCTAGAAAAACTGCTAAAGTAAAAACAAACTACCATTCAGTAAGTAAAAATTAATGAATGACTGGCATCAAACAAAGTACAAAACGCCTCTTAATTAAACAAACTATTTTTTTAAATTTGTTATGGGTGCAAATGAGTCTTTTTTACAGTGAAGTCTTTGGCAGGTTTAGAAGAACCTCAACCACTGGATTGGATGCGATTTTTTAATGTTTGATATAAACATTAACTGGAAAAACGTTCTAACACGCGGATTATTCCCATTTTCCCAACTCGTTGCCACAATGATTGACTCAATTAGCGTTTATTGAAACACTTATATCAGGCCAAACACTACATACATATATGAAAGAAAAACTGCATAAAACCAGCCCCTTAAAAGGCACATTTACACCTAAATGCCCGCTTTATTGCTTCGAACCATTAATCTACAGCATGACCCATAAGCACATGATGACAAATGTGTGAAATTGTTAATCAGAAGAATATATTTTGAGCAGAAACTATCAATGCAGAGTTGAGCAAGAGCACGTAAATATCGGGAACCGATTAGTCTTTAACCGAAACGAAAAATGAATTCCTTCCATCTGCTAAGGAAAAAGCTCTGCTCGTTTTTCTACCAAGACACTCGAATAGACTACGAAGTTTCTTCCCAAAATAAGTCTTCGGTAGCAACAAATCCACAGCAAGTTTCATTAAAATCCAGCGAAACTTTCACAAAAAACCTCATATTTCTGAAGAACTTTGACCATTGCTAGCACATATTTTTTTACAAACTTCTTTTTGGGTATTTCGCCTCAAAAATTTTTGTCTTTAAAAAAGACTGAATTTTCTCACGTCTTTTATAACAGATTGATAAATAGTGCTCCTATTTCGCAATAAGAACGAATTATGCTTTACAAATTGGAATCTTCTCTTACAGCTTGAGCCTAAGTGTGTCGCAGGATACCCTCTAGGCGATAGTTCTTGATTACTTTTTGATAAATAATTCGTTCTTATTGCGAAATAGGAGCACTATTTATCAATCTGTAATAAAAGACGTGGGGAAATTCCTTCTTTTTTAAAGACAAACATTTTTGAGGCGAAATACCCAAAAAGAAGTTTGTAAAAAAAAAGTAAACGTTGGGGATACGCACGATGTTTATGTTTTTTTGAGAGAGTTCGGAACAACTTTAGTGCCTTAAGATCGGCTGCTAGAAAAATAGTGCGTTTTAAGGAAGATTCTCGTTGAGCCTTCACTCTGGATTTTCAAAGATTTTTCTTCATCCAGGAATGGGGCTAATAAATAAAGACGAAGTTTGTAAAAAAATGAATCCGCCTCAACAATATAGAACTTATCTAGCACATATTTGCTTCACTCTGTATGCAATCGCCAGCTAATTAGAAACATCATTAAGGAACAATTGAGCCTAATGATGGTGTGATGGATACAGATCGCATAATGACCAGTTAGGGAAAATAATGCCAGCAAACACACGTAAAAAAATCGCCTTTATGGCCTGTGGTTCTTTTGATATTCGCTCGTGCCGATTGATATGAGAGACGATCGGCAAATTCACATCCACAATTGGATGCCGCTGGGAAATTCTATCACCTTTTTGCATTCCGATGTGGCACAAATCAATCGATAACAAATTTCCTGCCGAAACCGCGCGTGCAATTTGTCGGCTTCAATTCAGAAATTTACCAGGATTGCGCGTTTTCGCCCGAATCGGCCGCATTTCAATTCGACTGAGATTTCCGTTCGGTTATTTTCCAGTCAAAACACAAATTTCTCAGCCTCTCAAACCCTTCATTGTTTTCGCCTTTCAATTGCCTGCCTTCTACCTGCATAAACTGTTACTTTTATGGGAGCCAATCGAAGTTATGAACCGTAAAACGATACCGAAGCTCTGGTAAAAGCCGAAGTGGCTTTGTTGCAGGGCAAACTCAGGTGTTAAAAAGGAAGTACCAAAGGAAGCACACTTAAGATTGTCTTAGGCGATAAAGTATCGTCAGTGTTGCGTGGAATGACGCGAGTTTGCTTGCTCGCAATCGCATCTAATGAGGTTCAATGGTCTGAAAAGGCACGAGCCATGAATTATTTCTTAACATTATGGTCGTTTATTTGCCATTTTTATCATATTTGGTCGTTTGTTGGGCGTTCAATTGGGCATTCGCAAAAAACCAAATCAGAACTACGGCTCATACGCCCGAAAATTCACCAGTATTATTTACAGGACTGTTTGAATCTTGGGAAAATGGTAAAAGAAGCTTTCTGGTTAAAGCGGACTAAACCAACTGGCTAAACCCAACTCAACACTTCCTTCGACAAATTCACTTCGAGATCCTTTGCTTTGCTTGCTGCTGCCTGATGAATTCACAGAAAAAACTTTGCAGCTAAGAATTGAAAAAACCTTCTACTGGACGTTTAAACTAATTAATTAATCTGCTATTTGCATAAGAGAGTTGACAATGATGCCGCCACACCTGTAGAACCGTTAGGCTATTTTTAAAACCGTTTTCCACTTTAAAAAAATACTCACGCACCGTCGCTTCAGTTGCAATTAATATCGGCTATAAAACCCGGTGACCAGTTCGTTCTATTCATGCTAAGTCATATTTATCTAGAAATGCCATTGTTCATCACGGTGGCCGGGCGATAACAATTCGTTTTTGCGGAATTGCTATCGGCATTTAGATAAAAACACTCCTAAAATGCGGATAAGCAATCGATGTTCATTGATATGACCACATATGATGTAATGTAAGATTCAACAAGTGTTTTTTGCGCTCAGTGGATTCTTTGCGACCTCA